TCTTTATAGATCAATGGTCTCAACTTTATCTTATGTTTTATTCAGAAAAGGTTGGAGTCTTTCTTTTTTTATCTAAGTTCAGTGCAGGGAAAAAAAGTTATGTTTTTGTAGCAATACTATTCAATAGAACAATCGTAATCCCAACAGTTTCCTCAGATCACTCTCTTTCAAAAAGTCAAACGATAAAAATGCTGTGTGAGTGCATGTAAATGATATTAAAGTGTGCCTTCTGTGGTAATAGCTACAAATTTATTCATTGCGTTTTTCAGAAAAAAAAAAAAAAAACCCTTTGAAATTTTCACAGAAAATTTGAAGAAAAAAATTACCGAGCTGTCCAGGAAGCCATTCCCATCCGTGTCATAAAGGCGAAACATAACTAGAATAAAAGAGGTGTTGAAAAAAAGATTATAGGCGAGTAAGATCAATGTTAGTTTAAAGCATATTCTTTAAAATTCAATTTCTGTTGGAAAACAAATACTAAATTCCTCCCCTGCTCAAAGCAAATAATTTGTGGAATTATTTTTCAAGCTAAATTGAAAAGAAATTAAATAAGTACACTGGATATCAGATATAAAGTCTATAAAATTTGGTTTGTATCTAGAAAACACTAAAAAGTACTATAGTTTATTGAAACTCTTTATTATAAGACCATTAAATGTAAACTCAAAAATAAGAGATGAAAAGAAGTTGAAATATTCGTGGTCTGTATAGTAAAGGGCAGAGTGAATAAGGAAAAACAACTGATTTGGAATTTTAGAAATCAATTATAATTTGGAATCCACCATCCATTATTATGTGAGCTTAGTCCAGCATTGTTTTCTTATCTGTGAGAGCAGAATAATCAGCCTACCATAAGACACACATTTGCTGTGAAGGTTAAGTGAGGTGATACACACAAATGCACATCAAAAACCATAGATCAGGTTACAAACATAAGCCATTGTTATGACTGATTCTCAAGCCCTATGGGAGAGGAAGGAGGAGTGCAAAATAGGGGATTCTTTCTGATGGAGGATGCCAACACAGAAAAACTCATTATAATCATAGCTATAATGGTTTATTTGTTTAAATCTGAGGTGAGCTTCATAGGGTAACTGATCTTTGAACTAATCAAGCAAGGAAGAGGAGAATGTTGGCTCTCTATACGTGGGCTCAGGAAAGCAGATGACAGAGGTCCCTGACGGGCCTGAGGGCTCCCTTGTATAATTCACACACCCCTAGGAGGCTGTGGAGGAGGCTGCAGGTGTCATTTTGAGAAGAACAGAGAAGAATGGCACAGCTGTAAAAACAGAAGAGTGGAAGTGAGGGTTTGTGTGGGGTTTGTATAATTTCTTGGAGAATTTTGATATCTGAGATCTATAACATTAATAAAGACATTGATAACTAGGATGCATGATTGTGCAATGACCTTGAATGTATATCTGTAACTATTATTTTCGTATTTAATAGTTATTGCATTTCAGCAATTCTGAGATATCATCGTAAGTTGCAAAATTTGTATATCACTAAAAAGAAAAATAAGTTACCAATTTAACTATGATGTTCTATTTATTGAAAGATGCAAAAAAAAATGTTAAAGATGTTAAAATGGAAGAAAAAATGTCTACCTTTTGAATTAAGGGAGATAATGTTAAGCCAGTAAAAGACTTAAATATGTTTATCTGCAAACCATGGTTATTGTTCCCTCTCATATACCCAATAAATGAGAATAAAATACAGAAGAAAAGAACAATGTGGGTGCTAAGCATTTCAAGAGTTCCTAGCATAGCAGCAAATGGTAAAAAAATATCTTTGTAAATGGCAAGAATTAACTGACCAATCACAGAAAGGATTAACTACCAGAAACAAGAAAAAGACTTATAAAAACCTATCCGCAGCCCAATCTTATGCTTAATTTAGTCATCATTTTGGGAGAAATAGCCTCTAATATTTGTTCTTTGCCTCTCCCAGGGATTCTGTGTGATCCCCAATATTACTTAAAAATAATAATCAACTTTACTATAAACAAATGGTTAAAAGGAAACTTGTTATCTGTCTCAATGATATTGTGTACTTAACATTGGTTTCAAAAGTGAATTTATTATTGAAATATTATACTTAAAGAGAAATGTATTGTTCAATAAATTATCAAAATGAACACAGCAATGTGACTATTATCTCTAAGTCAAAGAATAGAATACTTCTAACAAAACAGAGCCCCTTTCACCCTCTTTCATCATGAAATTCTCTCCCCTCCCCAAAGATACCCACTGTCTTGACTTCTATATGCCTTCTTTAGAATTTGGCATTTACTGAACATCCTTTGTGATCTTCTGTATTTTTGCGGATAGCATTAGCACATTCATTGCCTTCTCTGCATAGTATTTCAATATATAAAAATATCACAATTTATTCATTCTAAACTGGATGTATATTTTAGTTGTCTCCAGTCTGCTATTTCTAGTAATGCTTGGGTTATTTCAAACAATACTGCTATAACCCTTCTCGGATGGCTTTTATGCTTAGGTGAACATTTGCCAGTTGGTTACAGACCAATAGGAGGAAGTCTGGGCCATAGCATATATTGCCAAACAGATATCAAAAGTGGTTTTACCAAACTTGCCCCTCAACAGCAGTCTAGGAGAGTTTAAGCTGCCACACTTCCTCACCCAACATTGAGTGTTATCCATTGTCTAATTTAAGCAATGCTGGTGGAGGTTTAGTGGCATGTCACTGAGGTTCTAATTTGATTTCCCCTGACTACTAATGAGATTGAACTAATTTTATATGTTCATTGGCTAATTAAATACCCTCTTTTGTGGAGTGACTATCACAGTCTCTTGCCCAATTTGCCATAGAAATTTTTGTCCTTTCTTCTTTTTTTGAGACAGAGTCTCTTCTGTCACTCGGGCTAGAGTACCATGGTGTCAGCCTAGCTCACAGCAACCTCAAACTCCTGGGCTCAAGCGATCCTCTTACCTCAGCCTCCTGAGTAGCTGGGACTACAGGTGTGCAGCACCACTCCCGGCTAATTTATTTTCAGTAGAGACAGGGTCTCACTCTTGCTCAGGATGGTGTCAAACTCCTGACCTCAAGTGATCTGCCCACCTCAGCCTCCCAAGAGTGCTAGGATTACAGGTGTGAGCCACTGCACTGGGCCTGTTTGTCCATTTTTTTATTGATTCAAAGAAGTTCTTCATATGTTTTGTATTTAGGCTCTTTTTGAGTTATGTGCTGCAAATAGCCCCTCCCACTCTATGTTTTGACTTTTCCCTCTGTTAGTATAATCTTTTGATGAACCAAAGATCATAATTTTAATAAAAGACTAACCCATCAAACTTTGTCTTTACATAATTCCTCTATGTGTAATTTTTATGTTCTACGTAAACACCAATATCTTGAAAATTGTATCCTTTTGTATCTCCTAGAAACAGAAATTCTGGAATTGAATTTGGGGTATGGTTTGAGGTGGGGGTCATTTTAATTTTTTTCTATATATTTAACAGATTTTATTTCTTATGAGGATTAAACCAATATTTGCTCACATAAAGTCATTCACGTTTATTAGTTTCCATGTTTTTTAAGTGGAATAAATAAAAGTAAGTTAAAAATTCTTGACCCTTGGACACTTCACTTCCTCTTGGATTTGCCTGGTGACTTTTGGTCACCACCACCATCAACAAATCCTTTCAAAAAAAGTAATGTGAATAAATTAACAAAGCAGAGAAGGGGAGGAACTATATAAGCAAAAGTAAAGTTTCAGTCCATGAAATAAGATTAGGAAAGATCAAGCTGAGAAGAAAATGGATTCCCTATGAAGTTTAAAGTAAGATAGAAAAAGTAAGAAAAAATTCTTCACAAGATGTGAAAGATATCCCAGGTGTGGAATGAAAGAGAAAAGAAAAGAAGGTGGGAAATAGGAAAAAAAAAAAAAAGAATAATTCAAACTTCTGTCTCGGGGGTTCAACAAGTAATATTAGTTTCAGAAACATAGAAAAAGTAAATTAAGGGGGCAAGGTGACTATCAATGAAAAGATTCAAGAACAAATGTTTCTGAACCAGAATTTATGGTGGAAAATTTGAGAATTGATTAGTTGTAGAACTAGAGAAAAGTAATCAAGTGAAAAAAAAAAGGAAATTGCTTTTATTTTCCATTGAAAATAAAAATGGTTTGGCCTGGTACACCTATAAAACTTTTCCCTTTTAAAACTATATTTATGAATAATAAAGTTAATATTTAATCTTTAAATTTTATAATGAGATTATTTCTTTTCAATATTTATTTAATATTTAAAAGTAAAGTCAAGTCCCAAGGTCAAGTGAATCATTGAATGAATAAATCTTATTTTTAAAACCAACATAAGCATATACATGTTTAGGTTCAAAAGTAAAATAAGCCCAGTGTTAAAATCATTTTGTCAACATGATAGCTTCCAAATATGGGTACCTGCTACAAAGTTACAAGCTAGTTTAACCCACTTTTTTCTATTTTTATGCTCATGTAATTTCACTTTATATAGAAACAATTATGTGCCCACACATGTATTTAGTTAAAAGATCAGAGCAAAGGCATATTATGCAAGATAAGGGTAATTTTTTATATCTAAAATTTTTCTATTCCAAAAGATTTTCAAGTTTCTGTCTATCTATTTTCTCATTGAATATCTTACTCTGTATATTGTGGTGTTTTTGCACTTGCCAGAAGATATTATTAATATGAAAATACTAATATAGAATCTGTTACTAAACACTAGAAAGTATATATTTTAAAAAGCATTTAAACTAGAATTCCTTTAATTCACAATTTTTTACTGTTTTATGTATTTCAATGCCTACTTAATAAACTTTAAAAACAGAGGCAAAAAAAATTAGTTGCTTACAGTGCCTGACATATCCATTGTAATGGAGTAATACTTTCTCCTTTTTTCCACAAGAGAAACAACAAATAAAACAACAAAAGACAGCCTTTCAAAATAAAAAGAGCTCTACACAGTAGGTCAGAAATCATAGGTTTTAGTCACAGCTAGATAAACTAGTAGAATAATAGAACTAGTAGAACTACCCTTTCTGGGCTGTTTTTTCTTCACTGATAAACTATAGGAAGGTTGAGTAGATGAACTTGAGGTCTCCTCAATGTTAAATTTCAGTGGTTCTAAGGTTAATACCATACATAGCAGTTACTTTAGCATGTAGGTTACTCTTCATTATCTGCATGTCCATTATGCACTTTCTGAATATTTTCCTGTTGATTTCTCTTCAGTGATATATTTTCAAAAAATGTAAGATAATTTAAAAATTATTTTAAGTCATTAGTAACTTGATAGACACTAATCTAAATAGGAATACCATACATTTTAATATCAAAGTATAAATAAATTTAATATTATTTGATGTCTTAAGTAATTCATATTATTTTTTATCTTCTCAAGCACCCATTGACTTTAACACAGTTTCATTTAACTATTGTTTATTGAGCATCTATGCGTGAACCACACACACAGGTATTAGGTTATAGGGTGGGCAGTTGTACAGAGTGCAGGGACATGAAGGAGAGTAAAGTAAAGCTGATTAGGAGATGGCAAGAGGACTCCTGATATAGGAAAGGCCAAGTGTAGACTGCACTGAGTCAAATATACACTGGGAGGAAATAACCCCAGAAAATGCACATTATAAGCGAAATCACAAAAGTAGAAAAGTTCAGGGTTTGTCTGATGATGGAAAAGCTGCCCCATGTGACTGGGACACCATTCGTGCATGTGTGTGCAGGTCACAGCCAGATGCAAGAGTGGCAAAGTAGGCTGGGGTCTGACTGTGGAGCCAGATCAGTTTAT